AGATAGACGGACACGTCTGAAAAGATGCTCAGCGTCAGCCATAGTGAGAGTGATGCGAAAGAGACTGTTTCCCACTGACAGGTGCCTAAGTACTGAGAGCGAGGGTGGCCAGTGGAGTGTAAATTGGAATCACCATTCTGGAGGTCAGCAGTTTGTAAAAATTAAAGAAAAGCTCTTCAATGCATGTACCTCTTGGCTGGCAGTTACAGTTTTTCTAAGGACGTAACCACACAGTCGCGCTGAGATGCGTGTCTGAAGGTGATTGGCCAACCGGGTTATAATTATGAGATATTAAAGCAACCAACTCATTACTAAGTGTTGGTTATTAAGGAATTAGCTAAGTAAAATCTCATAAGGCCAAACAGTGGAACAGACACCCATTAAACATGTTGTTGCTCTGTAGTTATTGACATGGAAAGGTGTCTATGGTATCCTCAGTGGGGAAAAAAAAAACAGGTTACAAAGAAGCAGTGGGGTATATTATGTTCTATATTTTGTGTTTAGACAATTATATCACTACCCTTCGGGTATGGTCACTCATGGCCACATGGGGCTCTTTAAATTTCAAATAATTAAAATTAAATCCAGTTCCTCAGTGTGCACTGGCCACATTTCAAGTTTTCAAAAGCCGTATGTGGCCACCATATTTGCAAGCACCTGTATGAAATGGTATGTCCATCATCATCAGAATGCTGGATGATTCTAGGAGGCTAGGCACCAAGTATGAAGAGCAACCATTTCTGGATAGTGAGGTTGCAGAAAATCTTTATATTTTTGGTTATGTGTCTTGCAGTTTTTAAAATATTGATGATGGCTAGTCCTTCCTATAGTCAGAAAAAAGTACTATTTCAAACAATAAGGACTCACAGCTTTTTTTCTCTGTACAGTGAGTTGAACGCCAAGTCAAAGGAGTTGCACCTGCAGATTTCGGAGGATGGGCAATCCTCAGAAGGTGGGTGGCGAGCAGGTGGACGGAGGCCCTGCCCTCTGGAAGGGTCATCCAGTGCCCTGACCAGGGCTGTGGGAAGCTGGGGAGGGCGGGAAACCCAGAGGAGGCCTGCCCCTCCCCATACCATCTGGGTCTCCCCAGGGAATGTTTGGTTGAAAGTCCATTCAGTTATTAATAAGGTACATTTTGGGAAAGAGTATATTCAAGTAGTTTTTTTAGTTTTTTGTTTGTTTGTTTGTTTAACAAATATCCTAACTCTTTTATTTAACAATTCTTGGTTTAGAGAAGCAGTTCTCAACCCTCTGAGCCTCAACAGACCTTAAAAAATTTTTTGTAAATTATGATGAAATACATGTTGCAGAATTTATCATCTTAACCATGTTTTAGTGCACAGCTCAGCGGCATTAAGCGCATTCACACTGTTGTGCAACCATCGCCCCCATCCATCTCAGAACTCTTCCATCTTGCAAAACTGAAACTCAGTCCCCATTGAACACTGACTCCCCTCCCCCTCCCCAGCCCCTGGCATCGCCATCCTGTCTGTCTCTATGGATTTCCACTGGCTTTTCCTTGGAGAATGAGCTGTAGCAGCTCAAATTGAACACATGCTTTAGATGCAGGAAAGCAACAATTAGAGGTAAAAACAACAACACCCGTATCACCAAAGTGAATGTGGGCCTGTTATAGTTCAGTAGTTTCAATATTGATTAGATTTTCAAAAATCCCCATAAACATACCAAAATCGGGAGGGGGGAGGGGCTTACCTGTCTTATCCAGCTGAGCATCCAAGCCCTTTGCTTATCCGCTGACATTACCGAGACCCTGCCCGTGAGCAAGAACTCAGGCGGCTGCCTTCACCTGCAGTCCTGAGATGACTGGGCTGCCCCGAGGTCAGAGCTGACCTTCTCAGAGCCGGGGGCGCCCACTCGGGGCCACTGTTTATCCCGGGGGCCCCGCTCCTCTTGGCTCCATTGGAATCCCATCCCAGTGCAGCCGACGGGGGACTGAAATTTCAAGCTCAAAACAAACACACACAAAAACACAACAAAGAACAACCATAGAGCCTTGACTCAGACTCACATATGTCCACTTTGCCCCGTTTCCTTGTGCTCACACTCGGTCACTCTTGCTTGTGCGCGTGCTCTCTCTCTAACACACACACGCGCACACACACGCGAAGGTAAATGTGGGGACCATCTGAGGGCAGTTCTATGCATCATGGTCCCTTCACCCTCAGTTCCTTAGGGTGTGTTACAAATAGGGCTGTTCTCACACGTCCCTGGGACAGTTACCGGTTTCCTGAATGGACGGTGAACAGTTCTTGAACCCACCGCCAGGTTCTCATTCTTACCAGTTGACGCACAGCTCGTCTTCCTGTCAGCCGTTTCCCACCGCAGCGCAGGTGCAGACGCTGCCCGGAAGCGTCACATCCCTTAGCCTCCTCTGTCCTTTTTGGACCCTGACATTTGTCACATGTTTTCAAGTGAGCAGGGTGGTGATCAGGAGCCGGCCTGCTTGTAGCAGCTCACCCCGGCCGTGTGTGTTGCTGTTCTGGAAACATCCGCAGCGCGCGCTCATTGCCGTGTCCTGTCTTTCTAGCTCTGCTGGCGACGACGACCATCCCTTTAGATCTGTTCAAGAAGCAGCCTTCCGGGCCACAGAGCTTTATGCTGAGCCGCGGGCCCTCGGGGGACGGCGCGGCCCTGGGTTCAGTCACCGCGGAGGTACGTGGCCAGGTTCCCGCTTCGGATGAGGAGCATCTTTGCTTTTGTCCGTCAGAGTCTGGCTCTGGCTTGACCCTGAAACGAAGCTCATCCGAGAAGTCCCTGGGCTTGACCGGGAGCCTTCCTGCCCCTGAGCTGGCCGAGTGTCCGCTCTGTGAAATACCTCCCGAGGCCGTTTCACGAGGGCCTGACCCGGAAAGGGCTGTCGGTTTTTCTGTCCCTCCAGCCTTTGTCCCCATCGTGTGTGCTGCATGGCTGGGTGGGAGCATGGGACTCACCGGCCTGTCAGTCCCCGGGGGGCCTGCGTTCATTCTAATATGAACATCACTCATTCTGACACCAACTGAGTGATGGGGGTGCAGAGGAGGTCAGCGGGCCGTGTGGGTGGTCCTGGCACTGACCCCACGACCCACGAGCGGCCTTCTCCGCAGTTCTGTTACGTGGAACCCGCAGAGGCGAAATCCTGGCACACCCCTCCGCCCGTTCCTGCGGCCAAGATAGAGAAAGACCGAACAGTGATGCCCTGCGGGACTGTGGTCACGACCGTCACCGCCGTGAAAACCAAGCCTCGCTTCGACGCCGGGAGGGCGTCCCCGCTGAGCTCGGGTGAGAGGGTGGAACGGTCTCTCTGAGTCCCAGGAAGGCAGAGTGCCCGGCCCCATGTGGTTATTAAGCCAATCTCATGGCACAGGGATCGTGGTGATGGGCAAGACTTCTGTGTAGCTTTTTCTTTTCTTTTTTTTAAGAAAATTATCTTCCTACTTTGTCAAATGAATGACAACCTTGTAGTCTATTCTGAAGCTAAAATTGAGACTCTGGATGAAAGAGCCAGTTAACTTAATGACTCTGTTACGGTCACGGGGGCACCACGCTCTCTGAAGCACTGGGTGCACGTGGTCAGTGTGGAGTTTCTTACGTTAGGGTTGTGGGTTAGAAGGCTTGATGGGCGGTCGTTTCAGATGCAGCAGAATTCCGCACCTGTCCCCACAGCCACGGCCTGGGAGACACTTGTATGATTATTATTTATTTTAATTTATACGGTGTTTCTGCTTATACCGAGGTACTATCTTCCCAGCGCAGACTGCTTTGCATTCTGTTCTCGAATGCAAAACAGAACGTGAAACTCTCCCTCAGTGAAAGCATTTCTGAAATTGTATTTAAACCTGAGCTTCCAGCACCCCTTTTTGGTAACCCCACACCCCAAAAAAGAGAAAAGAATAAGAGATCGTTAAGCAACCTTGAGGTTTGGCCGTGCCTTCGCCAACGACATGAGATCGCGTTGACGTGAGGTGTGATCTCACGTCCCGGTAATGGGTGCGGGTGACGTGTGGTCACCAGCGTCTGTCCCTGCAGAGTCTCCGCTGCGGACGCCCGTCAAGGTGAGGGTGATCGAGAAGGACATCTCCGTCCAAGCCATCTCCTGCCACAGCCCTCCCGTCAGCAAAACCTTGTCTTCTTCAGACACAGGTAACGCCCCGCGGCCTCCCTCACCCCTCTGGGCTCCTCCCTCTGCCCTTCTGGCTCCTCCCTCTGCCCTTCTGGCTCCTCCCTCTGCCCCTCTGGCTCCGCCCTCTGCTCCTCTGGGCTCCTCCCTCTGCTCCTCTGGGCTCCTCCCTCTGCCCCTCTGGGCTCCTCCCTCTGCTCCTCTGGGCTCCTCCCTCTGCCCCTCTGGGCTCCTCCCTCTGCCCCTCTGGGCTCCTCCCTCTGCTCCTCTGGGCTCCTCCCTCTGCCCCTCTGGGCTCCTCCCTCACCCCTCTGGCTCCGCCCTCTGCTCCTCTGGGCTCCTCCCTCTGCCCCTCTGGGCTCCTCCCTCTGCTCCTCTGGGCTCCTCCCTCTGCCCCTCTGGCTCCGCCCTCTGCTCCTCTGGGCTCCTCCCTCTGCCCCTCGGGGCTCCTCCCTCTGCCCCTCGGGGCTCCTCTTTCAGCCTTGCGCCTGGTGAGGGGAGCATTCGTTTGGGGAGTTTGGGGAAGTTCTTTTGAGTAATAAGTTAAGAACTGGAAAAAGAGGGAAATCGAAGTTCATCAAAGACCAGGAAGGGTGAGCACCCTGCTATAGTTAAGGAGATGCTGTAACAAAATGAACGTAGAACCACAGCTCCGGCCTCACTTTATAAAATCCTGAACATTCTTTTTTCTCTTGGTCACATACGAGCCTATGTGACTGTCGTGAAGTAAGTAGGACTCGCGACATACCCGTAAAGCCAACTTCAGTTTGGCCTCCAGCTGTCCCACGAACCAGCTGGGTAGGAGTCGTCTTCCCCCAGAACCCTGGCTGCCCGTTTCCCATTTTTAGGGTCACTTTCATAATGACCTTAAAGAGGTGTGTGACTGTCTCTAAATCACAGCACCACCTGAATGTGGAGTTAAACGTTACCCCCTGGGCTCGTGGGGCCTGCGGTCGGAGAAGGGGCAGGTGGCAGCTTTCTTCGGGCTCCGCTCCCCATTCCTGAGTCTGTTTCTGATCTTGCCAAGCTCAGGGGTGGGGCAAGGAGGAGCAGGTGGGCTTGGGGGTGGGGGTGGGTCTCCCTTGACGGGTGCTGTCTTAGGAGGTTCTGTACCCCCTCAGCCGGCGGGAGTCGAAAACGGTCTCTGTCCCTGTGGGAGTTTTCGTGATTCCCGGGACGCAGCCCTGAGGGTCCCCCAGCCCCACTCCCATCCTGTCCCTTGGAGTCACTGGGAATCACGGCACCGCTCTCTCCTGAAGCCCCTCCCCAGCCCCTTCTCCTGTCCCTCCTGGCCCCTCACCATGGGGCATGGCCAGGCAGTTCTGCTGTATGTCCTGTCACCACACCCTTTGAAATGGAGCACCTGTCGCCTGCAGGCCACGGCCGAAACTGAGATGAGAAAACTTGCTTTTCCATCAGGAACGGGGAACCTTGTTTCTGCCAAGGGCCATTGGATATTTATAACAACATTCGTGTAATTAACTCAGCCCTACTCCTTGGCAGGGCCAGACCAAGTGATTTTGCAGGCGGCCCTCGGGCCCAGAAGTTCCCACCCGTTTTACATCCTGCTCCTGTGACATTTTGTCATTTTAATCTTCTTTTAGCAGAACAGGGACTGGGCATCCCGCTCTGCCCCTGACCTGGCTGCTGACGATTTCCCCGTTTCTCAATCGAGGAATTAGAAAGTACCCACTCCAGGGCCTGGGGGACAGTTGAATGAAATACCGTGCACAGAGCCTGTGCACGGCGCCTGGTGCGTGTGGAGTGTCCCCAGATGTTGCCCGTGTGTGGCACTGACCGTGGGAAGGGGCTGCTTGTATGCCCTGGCCCCTCAGCCTGACACCAGCCTGTGGTCACCAGTCTCGCCAGAGACGGGGAGTGACCGCACTGCCCCTCAAAGGTCCAGGTCCCCGAAAGGTTAGAGGTCTTTTCAGTGGTTCTCAACCTTCTGGCCATTTAAATACAGTTCCTCATGTTGTGACCCAACCATAAAATTATTTTCGTTGCTGCTTCATAACTGTAATGTTGCTACTGTTATGAATCGTAATGTAAATATCTGATATGCAGGATGGTCTTAGGTGACCCCTGTGAAAGGGTCGCTCGACGGCCAAAGGGGTCGCGACCCACAGGTTGAGAACCGCTGGTTCACCTGCTCTCATGTCTTCCATCACCTCGATCGCAGAGCAGCTCACACACAAATGCACTCGTGGACCCTTCAGTGAGTGTCACTCAGAGTCAGGGGCCTCTGAGGGGCCACAGGGATGTCACCGCTGCCCTCCCCCCGCAGAACTGCTGGTGTTGAATGGCTCGGATCCAGTGGCCGAGGTCGCCATCCGGCAGCTCAGCGAATCTTCGAAGCTGAAGCTGAAGTCGCCGCGGAAGAGGAGCACCATCATCATATCAGGGATCTCCAAGGTGCGCGCCCGCAGGGCTGGCGTCCGCCCCGGCAGCTGTCCCTCCCTCGGGAGCTGGCCGAGCTCCTGATCGATGTTTACGAAATGTCCGTGTTTACAAATGTCAGGTTAGGCC